CCGAAGGCGCACTGAGCATGTGCGGGCGGCTCGACCCGCTCGGCCGGGGCTTCCTGAGGCCCAGGAACAGGGCGGCGGCGTCCGGTCCTCGGGCATTTGCAACAACCCAAGTCGTAGAAAGAGGGGAGTGGGGAAGGAAGTGGTCAGGACCATGGACAGGTCTCGGTTGAGAACTGGGCTCAAGGATTCCCACTCAGTGGCTCCCTCAGTTTCTGTAATCTGAAGGTCTGTTCTGTTTTTGTTTTGTTTTTCCTGAAACGGCCTAATAGTCGCCTTATATCTCCGCTGTGGGATGGAGAGACAGCTGGTTGGCAAACAGCAAACTGGGGAAAGGGATCCTGAGGACAGCAGCTTCTCCCCCACTTCCCCCCGCCTCTCTCCACCTCTCTCGCCTTCTCTCTCTCTCTGTCAACACACACACAGGCACGCGCGCACTTCACCCCTTGGCCTCGCTCCTAATAAAGCTTGCCACCACCCTGAGCTTTCGTTTTCCCTTTGGAAGTACGAATTGGCATTTGTCTACACATTATAAACACGCATTTGGGGCCATACAAAAGCAGGAATCAAACAAACGTTTTGACAAAGGGCCTGAAAAGTATGTCACATGCCGGTTTTTAAAATTCAGAAACCTATGAGCATGTGAACAACCGCAGGGCAACCCTGAACACGGGAACAACTGGCTCCAATTTTTTACCTGTGGTACCTGAACCACTCAACGATGTACCCCACTCTCAACGTCATTTGGTACTGCTGAGGACCTAGACTATCAACGGCATAAGCAATACTGAGGAATAAGGAGTTCGTGATTCTTCTTTTGTGAAGAAAATGCTAACTCCTAGTGCAAAATAGCTATACTGGGGAATAACGCAAAGAAGAAAATATTTTTGCACTTATGTAAGTGAAGTTGAACTGTAAATCTAGAGCAGAAACTGTCTTTCATTGCTTTTATATAATCTCTCCATCAGTCATGGTTTGTGTTCAATAAACATCATTCTTTATCTTTTTTTTTTTTTTTTAGTTCATTGACTATTTACTGAACCAGGCACTTTTAAAAGCTGGCTACAATCAAGAGTTGTTATTGAAGGAGCAAATGAAAACTAAAATTTCTGTATTTTAGGAAAGCTCTGTGTGTGTGTGTGTGTGTGTGTGTGTGTGTGTGTGTTTACCATAGATCACTATGAAATTCAAGTAAAACAAATATCGTGCCAAAGATATTTTCTCCAGGCAACCTCCATTACAACAGTCTTGAACTCTAAGGCATTGGTTTAAACTTGAAACTACAGTTCTGGGTTGTGTTTTCTGGCTGGCCCTGAGTCTCTGAGTAATCCAATTGTTCAAACTTTTGTAAGAATTTCATACTGAAAGAAAAACTTAATTATCACTTCATCACCAACTACATAAGTTACTATATATCATATACATATATATGTGACCAAATTATGAGAGCTTCCATAACCCAGGTTCATATTACCATAATTTGCTCAGAAATGAGTGTGTGTGTGTGTGTGTGTGTGTGTGTGAATTTGAGCTTCGAACTTGTCAAATCTGGGAGTTTAGGCCATGACTACTCAATATTGATAACATCTTCCTCTAGAATAGAATGCAGAATTCTCCCTGCCAACACTGCCTTAAACAAACAAACAAACAAACAAATAAACAAAAATGTGCTCTCCAAATACTAGTTGGAAAACTTCTATGAGACTAATGTTGGATATCATATGGCTTACCTTAACTTTCCAACATTCTGAGTTTTCTTAGCAGCCACTTGGAATTGAGATTTTGGGTTCTTATTTTTAAAGTATGCTATGTATTTGATACTTTTAATTTTAGGGAATGTCAATTATTTATAGTTTAAATGGTTTATATTTTATTAATTACGGATCTTACATAATGACACAATTTTTTAAAAAAATTTTGACCTTATACCTCGAAACTATCTTTAGTCTATACACCTTTATGCACTAGGGGATGTTCAAGAACTGCTTTGTTTTCAGTTCTTCATTAATGAATTATTTGCAAGACATATATCTCAAGTAATTATCTAGTTTGCCTATCATGCGTTGTGGAGATAGGGGCTCAGGTTGAAAAAGAAATAAAGTCAAAGTAATTCCCTCCCCTGAGAGTAGGAAATGGAAATGTGTTTTTGGTCTTTTAAGTTTCAACTCAATATTTTATAGAACTATTATGTAAAGTGATAGTTTGACAAAGCTTAATTATCCAGTGGTGTGGCTGAAACAGTGGGAGAAAAAAGCACTGGATAGGAATCATGTGGAAAGACCAACTCAAAAGGAAAGTGAAAAGTAATTTCATCTATGTTAGTTAAGTAGTTTTCATGTGCCAACCAAAATAACCTCCCACCATTAATAGTGATACTGTCTTGATGGAAAAATATGTTCCCAGTTACAGAAGTACTCAATGTACTTTTAAGAAACAAATGATTTTTAAATTTGGAAACTTCTTTTGTTTAAGCTATTCAATAGAAAAAGACCAAAATCACTACAAGAATTTTTAAAAATACTATCTAGCAATATATAGTTGCATATATAAAATCGAAGACTTAACAAGTACCTATATCAAAAAAATTACATTTTGGAAAATTTAGTAGGTGTTAAATTATGTTATCCAGAGATTTCGAGTTCTTGAGTAAAAGAGACATTTTAAAACTTTAAGCTTAGGTAGCAGCTGCAATTATCTGAGAAGATGTAGCTGGATATAAGGATCTCATGAAAAATCTAGTTAAAACCATTAATATTGCATTCCTTTCAGAAATCATGTCAGGGAAACAGTTATAATATTAGTTATTTATTCTGGTAATTTTGCTAGTGAGAACAACTCAACTTGAACTAGCTTAAGGAAAATGAAAAGTTAATTATAAAGATGCGAGTATAGAGATAAAGCTGGGCCTCAGTATCAGCTAGACTTGGGGACCTGAATGCTGTTACTATACTTTGTGCTTCATCTCCACCTCTCTCTGCACTTTGGCTTCATTTTGCTTGCTCTCCATGGGCCAACTTTATCCCTATGGTGGAAAATATCACCCCTGAAAAATTCCAAGTTTTACAGTTCACAGGTTTTGCGCAGTAATAGCTAAGAGAAAAACTAAACATGGAGCATTCTACAGTTGTTTTTATTCACTTAGGTCAAGTGATAATTTTCTTTCTTGCTACCTAAAGCTTTCGAAATAGCATAAGCTCTAACAAAGAAGAGAGAAAACAGAGCAAATAGCAGATACTAATTTATTAGCCTACACTTCCTTTCCATTTAATTTCCTGAGCCTTTCGTGCAGATAGAAGGGCTACCTACACTTTTCTTCATTTTCCTCTCTAAATATGATGTGCTCTTATATAATCTCTGTTCTATCTTCTTATTGATCAATGAAGTTATTTCTATTGACTGAATGCATAGAGCAGTACACTGTGGTGTGTTGACACAATTACAACACAGCATGATACTGGCTTGTCAGCATGGAAGAGTGAACAGAACATCCAAACGCATAGACCAGTTTAACAAAAAAATGTTCAACAAATACAGGCTTAGTAGGATAGAAACTACAGTAGGTAACCATTGTTATTCACAACAAAAAAGTGTATTATTTTGTTCTAAATAGGAGTACTTGATTATATTTAAAACCTTTTTTCACAGCTGAATGGTCCCATGATAATAATAAGTGACAGTTATGTAATAATTTTTACTCAAAGTTCAAAAAATATGCCACAACCTTTTAAATGACAAATATGTCACACATAAGTAAATACAGCCACCTATCATGTATAAAGCAGGAAGAGACTTGTACAAGGCTTCAACAATGTACATTTGTAGGAAAGACATTGAATTCTATACTTAAAAAAATAAATTGATAATTTGAGTAAGATGAGAAAAATCATCTGCTGCTGGAAAAAGTCATTCAAGTCTTACCAAATACAAGAATGTCAAACATAATTCTTTGTATAAAAACAGATACTCAATAACTTTCTGTTAAATGAATAAATGAATTATAATAGACTTAGGTGTCATGGTTTATTTATATTAGTAGTTCTTAAACTTTGATGTGTTCATCTATACAACAGATAAAATAGCCGTTGATGATCGTGATAAAGAGAAACTTAAAGAACTCTTTATCTAGAATCATATTTCTCATTATCATCTTCCCAATTGTTTTTTCCCAATATAGAATTTCTCTTTGCTTAACTATATATTGTTATGGATAAAAGGAAAAAATTTCATAGAGTTTAGCATAATATGACATGTCATACTCTGAAATAAAAAGTTAATTTGTGTTTTTACTTAAAGGTGAAGCAATTTATTAAAGGAATTATGGAACATCTTTTGTGGATTCAGAAAAATGGGCCACAACAACCAATTATAAGACAATGATTTATAAGGATACAATTTCTTAGTTTTACATGATATCTTAAAGTTTAGAAGTAAAGACTCTAGGCATAATTTATGTTTCTATCGCCATGGTAAAGTTTGCATTTCATGAATATGCTCGTTGAATTAAAAAACACTACAAACTCTGATTTAAAAAATACTTGTTAGTAACTTCTTAAGCAATCTGATTTCTCTCCTAAAACAATATGCACAGATATTTTGTTTGACTTTCAATAGAAAAGATAATATAAAAATAATATATATGCTATTAGGGTACCTGCTACTTCTA